TCTTTCCCTTACCACACCAAAAAGGAACAAAACCGTGACTTCAAAACAGAGGTGTACCGAACCATGATTTTGTGTGTCGTTACAACCTAGCTTGGAGCCAATTAACCAAGAATATTTTCACTCCACCTTTCTGCATCCTCAATTTTCTACCTACTGAAATACTAGAAACATGGACTGGAGAGAGGAGATGGAATAAGGGTGGGAAAAGAAAGAATGAAGGAGGGTGAAGGAGAGAAAAATCAATATAAGGAAACTGGAGAACTTATGTAATAACCACAGTTGGTCCTTGACACAAGTATCTTTGCTAGAGTTCCTCCAGTCATCACTCACTTCCTTTGTGATTGATAAAAATAGTGGAGATTTCAATTTAAAATGTTTTTTTTTTTCCAAAAGTACAGAGGGCATACATGATGAACATTCAACCACCTCAGTAGAATTAAAATCCAACCCCAAAAACCGCTACCACAAACACATGGATAAACAAATACACACACAAATGCACAAACATATTAGACAGAAAAACAAACAGATGTTGGATCTTAAACTGTAGTACAGACTAGCATCCCTCTATTTGCTACCACAACAAAACACAAGGATAATGTGGGGGAGCATCTAAGGTTTCTACTATGTCAGTGGAGTTGTTAAGATCAGGTGCTGTACGGGATTTGGGGCTTTACAGAGATTAGAGGAAATAATGGAGTTCTAGAAATCTACACATTCAAATGAAAGTGCATGAATGATGTGAAGTGAGAAGGGATGAAACAGTCCAACTGAAAGCTTAAACGGTACAATAGGAACTAAAAGAGCGTGAAAGACAGAGAGAGCAGACAGGGAGGGAGAGGCTTACCATCTGTGTGTTGGTGGTCATAAGCTGAGGAAGAAGAAGACGAGGAGCAAAATAAAGATAAAGGAAGCAGAGAGAAGGAGGGGGAAGAAAAGAGAAAAGAATCAGGACAAAGGATAAAATGAATTCCAGGATGTTTCAACTTAAAAAACAGGACCAAAGGCTATTGAAAACAGTTGACGTGATACAAATTAACAATACAGAGAAAGATGCTACTGCGTTGTCGATATGAATGGAGATCCAATGTGCTGACCTACAGGGGAGCCCCAGGACACAAATCTTACCGTTACAAATCCATAACAACAACAACATGACCACCAAGTCATGTCGCGTCACTTGACCCCTCTTTAATGAAAATCCAATGG